GGGTTCTCCACACTTGCCAGGGGGGAATCTCGTCTCGTCTCTCTATCTCGTCCCCTTGAGGTATGGGATCGGGAAAGTCACTTTAACTTTACAGTCAAATAAGACACACACAACGGAATACGTTTCAGCTCTCGTCTTAGTCGGTCAATCGAGCACTCTATAAGACACAGCGCCCTGGGGAAAAAATCCCCAAGACTATCACAAGGCTGACCCAAGACTCTCTTAGACTGCGTCAACACTCGCCCCAAGACTCTCCAGGACTGCACTTAGACTCGTCTATCGTGCTGTGCTCCCCAAGACCAACTCAAAACTCTCTTTATTCATTTTCAAAACTCTAACCAATTACAAAGCAGTAAAAAGACTCTAGGGCGTAACCTTCAATCATAAAGCCAATCACACTAAGTACTGAATACGTCATATCTTTTGATTAATCGTTCACTACATTAATAACTATGAATATAAACTGTCAGAATGAGTAGTCTGAATAGCGGCGGTTATCTGGTAATTATTTCCAAATCACTGAGCCAAGTTCTGTCCAAAACTTCAAATAGGCCTAAACGATGACAGACATAACACAGCAATTCGCTAATAATCGGCTAATTAAGTCGGTCAACAGATACGCAAAAAGCAAATTCATGACACATCCCTTCACCCAAACTGAGATTGTGCCTCCTGGCATAACACGTTCACAAATCAAAGATACCGTCCTCTACTCATCATCATAGGGTTAAATACAATACTAATAAAAGGTATAAATCAAAAAAAGTAAAACACACTAATTAAGTACAATGATTATAAATACAATGGTTATAAAGTCACAAATATCAACGGTTATAAATCAAAAACAAGGGAAAGGCTACCAATCTACTCACTTTTCTCAAAACGGTTCGCTGAGGTAACCCTTCGCTGCACTGTCTCTCGTTACTAAGGTTACAAACTCTATATCAAAAGGTCAAAAAAAACTAATGCGTGGCGGCGTAACCAAGCGATCAGCCAATCGCTGCAGTCGACAGCATGATCACGTGATTACCAGGGATGCATCTCTCGGTTAAAGCATTGCAAAGCGGTA